GCAAAGAGAAGCAGCGCTGAGCCCCGTTTCCTAGTGAACAGAAAACCAGAGTGTGTGAACAGCGCTGACAGTCCCATCCAGTCAGCAGGGGATTTCCCCGTCAGGTGACTCGGGAGGGAAATTCAGTCACATCTGGTGCTCTAACAGGGATCTTTGTATAGCAGCGTGAGACTTTACTTCCTGTTCTGTTGCGGAAGAAACCTCTGGTTGAAAGTTGGTTTCAGTTCATTGCCTACACGCTTAAAAATAAGCAGAAGCCTCAAGAACCTGAAACACAAACGTCAGAGGAGGAAGAAAAAGCAGTGAGTGAGGCGTTTCCTCTGAGTGAGCGTGGGTAAACAGAAAAACGTGACCTCGCCGTCAGATGCACACTAAGAAATCTGACCTGCTACTATTCTGAGCAAACATCTCAGACCCTGATCACATGATCTCACAGACCCACTGGGCATGTTTGCATGTAAAAGTTCTCAGATGTATGCTGGTCCTCATCCTTGCAGGACCTTCCAGAATCTGGACTTCCACTCTGAAGTTAACAAGGAGCTGGTGCAGTGAATTAGTAACTGTGACACACGAGTACCTCGCAGAGTCCTGAGCAACCTGCTGACGCTCCAAGGACGCTTTGAGTAAACGATGAACGTGATGAAATAAAGGAACTCAACTGTAAAAGATTTCAGTGATTTAATGTGAGCGTTTAAGTGAAAGCTGAGTCAGAGAGGAAGCGTCCACAGAAGGACGCGCTCGGGGTCAGCAGCAGCATCTGTTCCACGCGGCAGGATTTCACCGTATCCAAGTAACATTAGGGTTAACTCTCAGGTTTCTGGACTCCGAAGGTGGTTCACTTCCTAATGGGGTAAATCGCCATGGCAACTATACTGCAGACCAACAGGTATGAAATCATCGTCTACTGACCAATCAATTCTCCAGAAAAAGACTGTCATCACTCCTGGACGACTCTCTGCTGGGAGAGCGGGAGCGTCTGAATTTGTGTTTACTTCTTTTTTCCTGTTCGCAGCACAATCAGACACTTTTCTGTTAGCATTAACATCTGAGGTCGTGTCCAAATTCATGGGCTGCATCCTCCTGAGGACCCGGCCTTCTCCGTCTACGTGGGGCCGGGTCCTCAGAAGGTCGGGTAGGCCGGAAGTAAACGGCTGTGAAACGGGACGTCTAGCCTTCAGATTAGCGTCACCGCTGTCTCGGTGGAGTTTAATAAATTTAGCCGTCTGCTCCTTGCTATCTAAAATATAACAGGACACTGGTGTAAAATGTGGTGTATAAATGTAGTTCTACCTGCTCGTCCCCGATGTCTCACACTTCTGTTTAATCAGTTTTCTGTTTGACGTTTATTCAGCTGTGTGAAAACTAGAACTTTAATCTCAGCCAAACCGATTTACTCACAAATGAAACACTGAAAAAGCCCAACAATAA